CACAGATGCGACGTGAGGTCGAGCGTTATCGTGCAGTAAAACTACATTGACTCGTCTTCGTCGTTTTTTCTTGATAGCGGCAGATAATTTGGTAAGCTGCGTTGAATATTTGTCAGCGTTTATAGTTTCTTTGTGTAATAGCTCATAAAACAGTATGCCTTGCGCATCCCAGAAACAGCAAAGCAGAATTTTTCGGCGGTTCTTTTGACTCGGCTTCGGTTGAGTTGGTGGCGTTTCTTCTCGAGGAATCCAAAAAACACGACGTGTATCGTTCTCGTAATAAATCCATGATTCATCTCCAGTAACCAGATCTGACAAAAACTCTTTACGTCGGGGTCGCAGCAAAAGTGACTGACAGATAGCGACACGGATTGCACGACTGGCGCCTGTAAGGATGTGCGGTACCCACCGAGCCAAAACTTTTCGATAACCAAGCTCATGCAGATGGTGTTCCACGGCGTGGTGACTGCATTTAAGTGCTTCCGGTAATTCACGAGTGGTAGCATCCGGATTCAACTGCAGTTCGCGGCGCAAATCGTCATCATTCACTGCGGGTGGTCGCCCTGAGCGTGGCTGACTTTCAAGGCTCATGTCTCCTGATTTAAAACGATCAAACCATCGGGACACCGTCGCATGGCTTGTACTTCCAGCGCCTAATGCATTGTTGATATTGTCAGCCGCAGCCCGCGCACTGTGGCCTAACAAGTACTCGTATAAGTATAGTGTTCGAACTTGTCGCTCGTCCATTTTTCTTCAAACTGACTAAACAAATCGCGAGCGCGGCTTTATATACCCTACACAAGAAGTACCTAGAATGTTCTACAACATTCTAGAATATTATCGAAAAAATTGATTTTAAAAAGGAAATGTTATAGATTTTTCTAGTGTGCCTCATTACTTTTGTGCCAACCCAATATATGTATAAACCTTTGTAACGTTGTTGGTTTCAAATAAATAAATATCGAGATCAAAAATAACAAATTTTTAATTTCTATAGAAAGTTTAAATATTTGTAAGAATATTTCTTTCGGCTGTTCGGGTAGATTGTCTGAAAATTGATGAAAATACGCTCTTTTAAATATAAAGTTGATAATTTAAGCATTTTTTCTTTAAGAATATGTTTCAATATAGCATGTGAATGCAAAATTAATGATTATGAAATCTGTTAATAAATTAATGTGTTTATATTTGATTAATTTTGCATTTACCAACTGATAAATCTTGAATGAAAAATTGCAGATAGAATTCCCTTGCCCGTTTGCATAAACGGTAGTAAATTTGAAAGTACTTATTACACATCATCGACCAAAGAAAAAAAGTAGATGCCAGCAATCTTTTATCGGTATTTGTTGAATGGAACTTGATATACAATCGTAAAAAAGTTTTTAAATGTACAAACTACATGTACTTTTTAAACTATCCTCATCCGAAAAAATGCCCATTTTTCATATTTACTGACTCTCATTATTCGATGATATTATTATGTTGTCATCTAAGAGAAGTTGTTAAAATGAATAACTGATTCTGTAGTAACGTAATAAGGAAAACCCAGAAATTGGCTCATAAAAAAGACGTACTTTTGATCTTAAAACCAATCAAGTGCTTGAACCGGTAGTGGATACCCAAAATCACATGTGAATTATGTATTGACCATTTAAGATAATGGGCAAGTGAAAAATGACCATATATGAAGTTCCTATTGTCGTGTATCGATATATATAAGTGGCAACGCTGTTCGGAAATGATCTATGTCTAAGATTAAGGAATGAATGTCTTGGCTGCTAGAAAATACAAGGATTTAATTAAAGACATTAAGGACTGAGTTTCCATTCAACATATTTATTAACAACTTCCTGATACATCAAACCTATGATTTGCTCAGAACCAAAAAAATACTCTTAGGACTGTTATTTTTTTGTAGAGGAATTGGCATAAATTATAAAAAATGGCATATCCTTCCTTTCCGTCTGCTAACAAAATCGTACGCCTTGTTCTAGAAAAACTGAAGTATCGGGATCGTGAATTGGTCGTATAAGTAGTCTTAAAACTAGTAAACTTTTTATTTACTGGCTCTTGTTTTGCCTTAACTTCAATGATGTTTCCAGATGTGGAGGAGTTGAAAGCAGGCTTTTTTCGGTATTTGGTTGATGGGCCTCAAATAACAGATGAAGACAGTTAATGAAAACGCAAAAAAATACGTAAAATTAATTCAAGGCCTTTTAAACAACTTTAAAATGCTTGACTGTAACATAAAAATAAATGTGTAAGACCTACGCAGCTATATGGAGAAGTTCCCTGAAAATATGGGTAGTTACAGCGAAACGCAAGCTAAGCGTTTCCACCAGGTTCTAAAAGTGATGGAAGATAGGTACCAGAATCGCTGAACATATAATGGCAGATAATTCTTTAAATATCAGACGAAATTCTCAAAATAATGCACACTGAAAAACTTCTAGGAAAAAGAGGTTTCTAGTCTATACTATCCTAAGTAAATGTTAAAAATTAACTTTTTATGCTTTATAAATACATATTTCATATCTCGAAAACTAAAAGTATAAGTGTATGCAGTTTTAATACGGGTACCTAATACCGATACTAAAAATCAGTGGTAGTTTTGGCGGCATATAAATCATGGTTGACCTGTGTTATAATTTGTATGATGTTGTGTAACATTAAAATGACTCAAATAGAAAGAATAGAGATAGTAAGGATTTATTAATAGAACGAATTGAATTGTTCCAGGTATACCCTGATCGCATACTACGATATGTACTCTCAAATCTACACACCCACCAAGATCTGGATACAGCTCCTCTTGATATGGTTCGTCTCATTCGGTTTCATGGTAAGTTATCCTTCACTACGACTACTAAAAATAAAAAACTAAATAATATTTAGATTGTCTATAACCAGACAAGGTAGGTTTTTTTCTGCTCTTAATCAGATCTTCGTTAGCATTACCAGCAGTTTATTACGAGCTCTTCCAATACTTGTCATTTACAGCGTTTAATTGAGTCGAATTACTCAGTCAATTTCAAGATTTTATTAAGATCTTCGCACATTACATAAACTACACAACTGTTTTCAAACTTCGCTCTTCTTACGTTGGACTTTTCAATATTTGTACAAACCGCATGTATTTCACTCGTCAGTTGTGTTACTAATATTAATGTGAATCGATGTCTGTGTAGTGTACAAACTCATTAAACCATCCTACACGAACACCAAACAGTTTCATAGATTCCAAGAATCAACTGTATCAAAAATTCCTATAAAACATTGCAACATTACCATAATACGAGATATTAAAACAAATAAACTACATACAGCAGAGGAAACGGGAATTAGTACATTGCACCATCACCATTAATAATTTATGTTTCGTTTTAATTGTCCCGAACTAGGATATCCTTCGCGGCCTAGTTCCGAGATGTAAGCTTACAGCGATTATAAAAATTAATCTTAAATATCATGTTAAGAACTGTTTATTTCTGTTACTTTTGTAACCATTTTCGATTTGGTAGGGACTACACATGTTCCAGTTTTTTACTCTAAAGCTGTAGCCTGTGCTAATATATCTGTATATACATTAACTATAACTTTAGAAAGTTTTTGTTTTATTTTTGTGTGTTTCACTCTTGCAATAATTTATTTCAAATAAAAATTAACTATTCTGTATGTATTCAAAAATATGTGCCTGACAAATTATAATAAAAAAATTACTTTATTTTGTTATTTTAAAAACACATTACCTACAGTTGGTTAGTCTTTTTAAACAACAAACAATAAAAATTAAAAATCAAAAATGGTTATTCATTCTAATTTTAAAGGGTACATATAGTAGTAGTTGGCCCATCCTAGATGCCTGTGTCAGGAGGACCCTCTCTTCCATAACATGTATAAGTTTAAACACCTTTAATTTAGAAATAAAGCATTTCATGCAGCACAAGATAAAGAAAAACAATATTTATATATAATTTTCATAAAATTTCATGCGGAAATATGTGTGTGTGTGTGTGTGTGCGCGCGTGCGTGTATTTGCGTGTTTATACTTTAGTATTTATGTAATTCTATGTTTTTATGTTTATTAGTATTTATTTTATCAGATTTTTGATTTCATTAAATGCTATAGGGAGCAACCATTCTACTTAGACCTAAGACAACAACAATTATAAGATTTCTATAAAACATTTGTTTTAATTTTTCATTCTCATTCTCTGTACCGTATACTTTATGATAGACAGAAACTGTTTTATTTTTTTAAATCCGCTTTTGCTTATAACTTAAGCGTTATTGGGAGTACTTACTGTAAACAATTCCAATTTAACGCTATTTGTCAGCTAGTTCCCTTTGAAATCCAACAGTACAGGCCTTTTAAGTACATTCGTTGAAATTATGGAAACCTTTCCATCCAACCAATCGAGGCGCGGCTAACGAACGTCCATCGCATACGATCTTAATAGCCCTTTGTTGCCCGGGACGCCGTGCGCAGTGTCACAATAAAAGACATTCGTTCAGGCTCTTAAAAAGTTTATATTTAGATGTTGTTAACATTATACTATTGTGGTAGAATTGGTTTCATAAAATATGTGTCAGTAATTTTTAGACTGTAAAGTTTGTTAACATCAATTTCTTAGCCATGCACATAAAAGCTGTTCCAACAAGTTAATAAAAAATTTCGGTGAAGTTTTTCAATTGAATTAAATTTTTTTAAAGCAATTCATATTGGTACAAATTCTTACATTCCGTCTTAGCATAAATGAAGAACTTTTATAGTAGAAATATAGTTTGCCCAGGACCACTTGGTGACTCGCTACATAAACAACTGTTTGATGTTAATACTAATGGACAAAACGTAATCCAGATTCTCTCGAATACTTTCATAATGCAGTGTCCATATTAAATTCGATAATAGCTGAGAGGTTACAAATGAACAAATTAAAGCTTGCAACGAACACACCTAATCTTTTTTAACCAGCTTCGTTTAAAAGTTACCCAGAATGGACCACGAGCAGGTAGATTCTATCCACATACCAATCCCTAAACTTATATGTTATTAACCTATGAATCTATCATTTAACAATTCATTTATAAGTGAACGTATAGTTACAAATTTTATTTAGAGATCAATGTATTAATATCAATCATCATCATCATCATCATCATCATAACCAGCCCTTTTACGTTCCCACTGCAGGGGCTCAGGCCTTCCTTATATGGATGTAAATTGCGAAACAGTTTTTAATTGGTTTGTAGAGTCAAATTCTCTTTTTATTTTTCTAGGTGCCGCCTCTCCTCGGAATATGGGGCCAACTTGGTCTAGATACCAAAACCTTCAGTTGCACGATCCTTCCGAAAGATAGCAAGTCGCCAAAGAAGTATCTGTTCGTATTCGGTTTCGCTCTGCCGTGCCTCGTCATCATCGTGTCTTACTCTTGTATCTACTGGCGAGTTAGAGAGAGCAAGAGGAAGCTGGAGGGCAGAAGGTGTGTATGTGGGTGAGGATCTGCAGCTCAGTACCTACGGGCTGGTGATGGTTAAACTGCACTGCATCTCTTGTGATGGGGTATTGCACAAATCTTGATTTAAAACTACCGAGTTGTTTTGGAAAGTAATTATATTTACTTATATTCATTTCGCTTAACGAGCTTAGTTAATTCTCGTTCCAATAGTTAGTGTATATTAGCTATATTATGACTTATTCCAGTTAATTCCTCATGAGTTAACCTTAACAAATGTTCAAGCATATGCACTAAATTACATAAGAAAGACTTAAAATCAATTATTATTTTCGATACCTTAACTGGTGCTACGGCTGATTTTAATGATAAGTATTAACATCGAGTCGAATACTCCATTGCGATAAAAACTGTGGCACCAATATGTAGTTACATTACAAATAAAATTACTTTAAATTAAATTGTTATAATGAAAAAAAAAAATCTCATCAATAACGTCATTCATTATTTCATTTGAAAATTATAATAACCTCGATACCTCATCTTACAAAATGTAAATTTAACAACTGTAAAATTAAAGCATAATTCATACTCATTAATTAATCATTGGCTAGTCTATAGCTTATATAATGAATTTGTTGTAATTGCTTAATTACATTTGTTAATAGAAAACAAATAAAGATATTCTATGCATTCGGAACACTGCGATGCAGGCTATAGGTTTATCCAATAGCGTTAATGAACCATAAAATGGCTGCTATCTGAACATTGTAAATTTTATGCATGAAAACAATGGATACTGCGTTAATTTCTATTAAACATTGCTTATTACCTACCACGGCATTCAATTTTTAGTTTTAGCCAGATAGAATAATATTAGTTATTTGTTAAAAAAATAGTTTTAAGGGCCAAAGAGGTTATCAATTAAGTATGATATTATATAATAAGGAATTTTATTTTGTTAGTGTAACATTGTTTTTTTAATATTTACTATTTCTGTATTCCCAGCAAACTCAGTGGCCAGACGGCGAAAGAGAAGGAGGAGGATTCGCGTCTGACGACGTTAATGCTCACGATCTTCCTTTGTTTCCTGGCGTGCTTCCTCCCGCTGATGATCATGAACGTGGCCTTCGATGGTATAACTTACCCTTGGTTCCACATAATAGCGTCTATTTTGGCTTGGGCTTCCAGCGTCATCAACCCTCTGATATACGCAGCAACGAACAGACAGTATAGAGCGGCATACGCGAACTTATTGAAGTTCTGCAGGAATAATCCGGTCGCCAGACGAACCACCTGGGGCAGTAGAACGGTAGGACAGTCTTCGAACTCGCCCAATTACGTTGAAAAGAGGAATCCTGTAAAAGACAACCCGACTAAATTATGAGGTTCCGAATTAAACAGAGACATAAACACTTTCTGATTATTGTCGATTTCCTGTTTTCGTTTTTCATTTCAGTTTGAGGTTGATTTATCGATTACTATACAAATTAAAAACGAACACCGTTAATATTAAAGTATGAGTTAGTATATATTTTATTATGGTGGAATTGAATGTCATTAATTAAAGGTGTGACGACCATTTCAAATTTCACCAGAAACAAAGCGATCTATATATATCTACTATATTCGCGAAATAAATCCGAATAATACCCGAAGACCTTTAGAATGAGAAAAATTTTCTATGTTTTAACGGTCATTTATTGAATTAAATCTATGATACTCATTTGAACCATTTGTATTGTAAAGATTATTAATTTCACTAGCAAAAAACGATATGCTCTTTGAAAATTGCTTATTTTTAATGTGTTTATTAAAAATAGTTTTCTGCTGCCTACTTAAATCTAGATTCCGAATTTTAATCTGTGTTTTGAACTCACTCTTCTCTTCCCATCTTGATAATTAATAAACTTTACAAAGCATAATTATAGTATGTCTAATGTAAATAAATGTTAAATACTGTAAATAGATATAATAACGTATACGTAATTAACTTACGTATAATTAGGTAAACGAATAACTATATAACCAAAGTCGATGTTTTTATTAATAATTATAGGTATTTAAAAAGTGTTTGTTTGTACCAAATAGATTATGATGTCAATTAAAACTCCTGCACATTAATCCTCATTAATCCTTCGGCATCGCACGGGCCGAGGGAGGCGTAAGAAGCGAAGTAAATTCCAAGGCCTATTGTCCCATGAACAATATCTATATCACATTTCATATTTAATATGGATCATTGGGTCTGAATATAATAAATCTCTATATTTATTATTATTAATATATGCGAGGTGTAAAGAGAATTCGGTTCGTTCGCCTTCTTCGGCTTGGAATAATTTTGCCTGGCAGCTTAATATATTATTTTGTCTATGGTAATACCAAGTGTTGATGCTATAACGATAATTTCACTATCAATAATGTAAAAACGGGTATTTCGAGAATGTTTTGTACAAAAAAAAATAATTCCAAAATGTACTGACACCTCAGACCTCTATAACGAATAGTTCGAAAATATTACCATTCAGATACAAAATACTTAGCCATTTAAAAACTTTGAAGTTATTTAGATTTTCATGGCCGTATTTTCTCATTAAAATTTAACAAAATAAATAAATTTACTTACGAATACAGAATTGAACTTGAATGTTTTTTTCAACCTTGTTCACACCTAAAGTCAGATTTCGCTTGTGTTGACACCCGGGCCCGGAATTTCGACTCCATGGGAATATCGAACTTAAATAAATATTCGTACTATAGGCAATATAAAATATGAACTGCCTTTAAGATGAGTACTATTTTTGAGGTTTTTGTAGTCGATTTTTTATTTATGTTTCATTATATTTAATAAGCAGTCTAAAGGAGGTCAATAGATAGTCAATTCCTAAATAATAGATTATCGTATTACAAGACAAAAATATTTTTGTAAGATCGTTACTTTATATCTTATTTTTTACTTTGTGATAATACCAAAAAATTAATATCGACGATAATTTAGGTATACGATAACAATGGAAATGTTATTATAATGTATTTATATACTTATTTGTTAGCAATTTATATTACTGTCGATTTAATTACATAACAAATCCAAATAGTTAACACCATTTTATGAACATTTATTTATTGCTTAGTTAAGGTTAATTAAAAAAGATTTATTTTGTTAAGCTTATATTAACGTGTATATTAAATTAAATGCATTCCTAGTCTACTCTTAGTTGAAGTTTTTGGTGGCAGTTTCTCACCAGTGTTGTACATTAACAGTGAAACTATATCGATAGTTATCGATTAAATATGGATTTATTATAACAAATATTCGATAATAATAACATAGTTTTGTATGGATTCTATTCCAATTTATATATACAATAACTTTGTAATAACTTAGTAATTTTGACTATCTACGTATAGTCGAATGGCAAACACGCAGTTTTCACACTGCCAGATTCGATTCCTAAGCAGATTTAGGTTTATATAGAAAACAAACTTGTCTTGATTGCCTTTATGGCGACGCCATTGATTTATAATTCTTATAACTAAAATGCTTTAAAATTATTCAAAAATACGTAGCCTTACATAAAATTACCATATTATATTTTTAATACATGTTTTCTATAATACCTATATGTTATTATATCGAATACGAATCTCGTAGCCTTACACCTACCAAGAACCTTATAATGAGGTCTTATTTGCGATGAGATTAAATGTGAGACATCACTACACGCGTTTATAGCCATGTCGCGTCTACCAGTGAAATTATTAACCTCGCGATAAGGCTATGCAATAAAGACTGATTTACTAAAAGTCAATTATCGTAACACTTTCATAATTCTAATTATAATTTATCAAATAAGGTTTTATTACATTGGTGCAAATTGCTTAATATATTTATTCTATAAGCTAAAAAGTTTTTTTATAAAGCCTCCACAAAAGCTTTACTTCTGGAATTCTCTGTGGTCTGTCATTTGTTTTGTCACAGTTCTACTTCGACGCGTCAACTGATTTTAATCCTGCCTGAAGGAATTTTTCCAATAGTATTTATTTATAATTATTGTTTTATATAAGTTATTTTAATTTATGCATATTATGTTTATGCCTAATAGCATAGGTGAATATAACACGTTATGAACATAAACTGTACCATTGGGAACACGTCAGACAATCAGCAAAAGATCAATTTCGCCATTATATTTTTAGCATTAATCTGTAGGCGGTGAATTTCAAAACAGATTGGAGAAATTTGGCATTTTGTTGAAACCTGATATTCTGTTGTGTCCTACATTATATAATCATTAAAATTATAATGTCAAATAGACATTTATTTATAATTTAAAATTGTGTATAGGTAAATAACAGTTAATTAATAGAGAACCAAAGTCGAAATATAATTTGAAAACGTACCTAGAAAAAATATTTACCTGTGTTTTATTTTCACACAGCACTGTATTAAACAGTCTTTCATTATAATGAACCCGACCATATCCTCTACGAAAATTACTTCTTACATCAAAAAATGGTGCAAAACGCTAATTAAGGTGGTAAATCAAGACGCTAATTAACGCGGTTTGAGCAATGAGTTTAATAACTAGAGAAGCAATCCCATACAACAGACGCGCCAAAAAGCGTAGCACTTTTCCGAAATTAGGACGTAGCTTTGCAAATAATATTTATACTATTATAGATTTATTATATTTGTCTCCCTCATATCTACGATTAAACTTTAAATTAAACAGAATATGTGCGAACGATAGAATGAACGAAAAAATGGGTAATTGATATTGTATTGCCAGCTGTCGAAAATTTCACCCATTGTGATGAATGAATGAATGAACGAGTAGTGTATCTATATGTATAAAATCAATTAGTAAAATACTGTAACTTTGAAAATTTCTTTGAAAAAACTTTGAAAAAAAAACCAATCACGAAAGTAGGCTCTGTGCATATATATCCCTTTGTTTTTCGATAAAGTCAGTGGTTAAGACAAAAACATTTGTCAAAGTTCATAAAACATCAAACAAGGTTAAATTTTACGTATTTTCAAAAGTTGTATCTCGATAACTATAATTGTGATATAATTGAAAAAATTATATCACATTAGCATCTGTGTGCGTGTATAAAAAAAATATCAACACAATTAGCACAGTTGCCTATACTTAAGCTGAGCTATATAATTAATTATAAAAAGATATTTAGATAAATTATAGCCACGTAAAATAAAAAGAAAAGGCTCCCATTTACTTGGGAAAATTGAAAGTGAATAGCAGTGGCAACACTGGCGACAAAATGTCAAAATTTTATTTGTGAAATTTAAATATTTTTTTATTTTATAAACTAGCATTAATTTTGTTTTTATTGCCAAAAATGTTAATGACTTAAGTGTGAAACTTAATATTCTTTCGTATTATGTGTATTTGTGAAAGAGAATCGTATTTTATTTACTGTTATTCTTTGTTTTTGCGGAGCATTTTTTGTACTTTCTTGGCGGGAGTTGAATGAGTAATGAAGTGAAAAACGAAAAAACTAAGACAAACGTCTTAGTTTTAGTAGCTTCAGATTTTTGGTATGTATTGCGTATCTAGACATATTAATATCATTGGGTTAGAGGCTCTAACTTAGAGCCATCAGGGGCAGGGCTATCACCTGTAGAAGATTTTCAAATCATCTGCATAGAGCAGACACTCATAGGACAATCTTTCCATTAAATCATTACTTAAAATAATGTAAAGTAATGGACCTATATGTGATCCGACCGAAGTTGGCTTCAAAAGTTCTAAATTATTACAAAATAATAGATTATTAGTTGCTGTAACATTATGCAGCGCATCAAATGTCTACCGATTATAAAAGGCAATAAATTTTCTTACCTTATCAAATATCTTTCAAAAATCCGTTTAGACAAAATCCAACCGGCATTTTGCAAATCATAAACACAAACATTTACTTATAAATAATAATAAGCTGATTGTGTATAATTTACTTAATGCCTGAAAAATGTGAATAGGGAATATGCACATTTTAGGAAAATGGTTTTATATGATAATTTACATCGATATATAACTGTAAAAAAATACCCGGCACCGAAAAACTAAAATTTTGTAACATTAGTCATTGATGAAAATAAGTAATAGCTACGAGAAATTTAAACGCCGGAATTTTTGGCGCGCTCGTCGTGACGTCAAAGTACACGACTAGAGATATGACATTTTAAATCAATATGTTTTTTGAGCGATTGATTATTATTCAATTACCCAAATTGATAAACAACTAATCGATTTTTTAAAGTATAATAGACTTTTTTAATAAATCATATAATTTACCAAATTGGTGAAATAAAAATAAAAGCCTAAAACATCATTTAAATTGCAATCAGTTGTTTATTTTGCGACATAATACATTGATGTTATTGCACCGATGTTAACTTTTTGTAACAATGACATCCTTATACGTGTAGGGGAGATGAGCCCAAAACGGGTAAGCTAAGGGAGATGTTCAATAA